TGTTCAACTCATGAGTAACTACTCATTTCAATATAATGCAATTTAAGAGTAAAATTAATATAAAGAAAAGCTGACTAAAAACATATTGTGAACACTGAGTGTATAATGGATATAATAAATCTCTGAGATGTATGTAAAAATACAAAGAACTGATAACTATGAAAATACAATAACTTCTGTGAGACCTTCTCTAACCGATAACCATCACTTAAGAGTTATATTGATAATACAACTTTAATCAGCCCACGCTACCTGACCATCCTAACCTTGCTAGAGTATAGGACCTGAATTGCCTAATGGATCCACTAGTATTCTGTGGAAAAAGGTTCATCTAAAAAAGTATGATCTTCTTCTACCCATGATGATTACATGGTTTCCATGGAGGCTTGAGTTAATATAAAACTCGCATCCTCACATCGGTGCTCAATACTACTCCAAAATATACTGACTCTTATGTTTTTAAAACATACTGATTCTGTGGTTTGAGATTATTGCTCAAAACATAGCTTTAAAAGATCTCTTGGAAATCATAGTTTCCTTGCTTGCTTCATTTTATAAAGTTATTACTTCTGTCTTAAAACTAGCCCGAAGGCTCTTTACTTGGTTAAGTGTAAAAACATTTGTAACTCTAAGGGATTACTTAGTCCCCTTATAACTTTTGAGAAGAAACTCAACTTTTTACTCTTGCTTAACTTGTAACTTGAGTCTTAAAACAAAGTTAAAAATGTTTGTTAGATACTTTTGGAAACTTTCGGAACTAACTTTGACTTGCTTCCTAACCATTAACTTGACTCTTAACTTCTTTAACTTTGATCTTAACTTTACTTGAATTGGATTATGGATTTAAAGATCATGATCTAATGTTTATGGATGATTTCATAATGTTTAGATGTACTTTAGAGTGTTGCAATCAACAAAGAAATGTGGGTACATCACTTAGGAACTAGTATGAAAAGATAGGTAAAGAATGGGGTATCAAGGTGACCTTGGCGCTCTGAGAGGCGCAGAGCGCCAGAGCCTAACGGACAGACTATGGTCTGAGGCGCTCTGGCAGGCGTGATGCCCCAGGGTCTGTCAGACGGGATTTTCGACTTTTCTTCTCCGATTTTTAACTCTAAACCTTCTAAACTTCGATGGATTTTTCCCCAACACTTAGGATCACTAAAATTCTCAATACCCAATAGTTTAAACTCGTAAAATATCCTGGAAACACGAATCAAAACAACTAAAGGCATACTACAACTCAACCAACAAGAATTCAACAATTGTTCATCAAGAACTTCAATATTCATCATTCAATATATTCAGAATTCGTTGAATTAAACATGTTGGTGTGTGGGTGAACGAACCCAACACAAGAAGATCTCACATACCTCGATAGGGATCACCCCCGATGAACTCCACTTGCGAAACCTTAGCGTTCTTGAATGATTCTTGGTCTTCCTCTTTTTTTCTCTTTTCTCCCAAGCCCTAAGCATATTCAACTTTTCTAAAACTGAATTAAGGCTTAGTTTTAACCCTAATAAGTCCTTAAAACGAATTGGAAAATAGTAGGGTGAAAAGACCACTTTACTCTTACTAAAATCCGTATTGGACTTTCCTCAATCCAACAACCCAACTTCCACAAGGCACATCATCCTCATATGACATCGAAATCGAGAAAACTCGGCCACATTGTAAGGATCTTCCCAAGAGATCTCCAACCGTATAAAGAATTGACCATTGTTATGCCATAATTTTACTATATTTAGAAAAATCACTTTTTGAAATGTTCTAAGTATAAAATAATTTGAAAAATATTTAGAAAAGAGTCTCCACTTAATTTTTTAAAGAAATTAAGAAAATTTAATATAAAATATTTTAACAAATTAAATATTAATAATTTTAGAGAAAATGGGTAAGAGATTCTTATTTACGCTTCAAGAAGGGTTTTAAGGCATTTGAAGCACCCGCTAACACGCGATTATCCTACGACTTATGTTATTTATATATATAACCTAAGTTATAACAATGATTCCAATTTGATTAATTAAGACATAAAAACTATTTTGAGTTCATTCAAGAGTAAAGAAAAGGCTTTGACTATCCCTCCCC